ACTTATGGTAGGTGGGACTAATTAAATGGGAAAATATATTAATTGTTTTAATTTTTAAATATAAATAAAGTAAAATTAAGAATTAAAGTAGTTTTTAAATTATTTAAAATTAAAAAAATCAACATAATCATTTTTTACATGATGGATTTTCCACCTAATATTGAAAATGTAAAAATAGTCAATCACTTAGCAAAAAAATTAGCTACATCAGTACTTAACTAACAGAAAGATGAAATTAGTGCTAAAATTGGTGTTGAAATTGAAGTTGAAGGATATTTTCGGTACTTTCTGAAGTTTAAGGATGAATTGGTTTAAAAATAAAAGTTGAGGGACCAATTCAAGTATTTAACCTAAATAAATATGTTAGCCATGTCAACATCATCACACAATTAATCCTTAAATTAAAAAAGTTGAAAGTTAATATTTTTAAATAGAAAAAAATTGAAAGTTAAAATCTTTATTTAGAAAAAATTAAAAGTTAACATCTTTATTTAGAAACTTATAAAGTTAACATCCTTAAATAGATAATCTACACCTTGACTCGAAATCATCTGCTCCCATTGATGGATCAATTTTTGTTTTTGAGTGAGGACTAGTAGGTGGTGGGTTTGGGGGTGAAAGAGGAACAACGAATGTATGCAGCTCTAATCACACCGTTGGTTGTAGTGGGCCGCTGCAAGAGGTGTGATCTTGTTGTAGTCAATGGTTGGGAGGTGACAAGAAATAGGCTAAAGGGAGCGGAGTTTTGTTGTGATGGAGCTCAAGTTACTAGATTGGAGGTAGGTTTATCGCGGTGGTCTTGGTTTCTCTCGGGTGTCGATGCCATGGTATGGGAGGCGAAAATGGTGATTGCTAGATTTTCGGCAAAGGAGTTGGGTCCAATTGAATTTTTAGGAAAAGATTATCAAAACAATGGGAAGATAATTTGATCAAAGAGAGATTTGTTTTCTTGTGAAAACAAATCTTTTTTTTTTTTTTTTAGATGTTGGTTGTATAACAGGAGACAACCTTCTCTTATCTCTTATCTCTTATCTCATCCCACTTACATGCCATGAGACTTGAACTCAGGATCTCTTATTTCCAACGAAAAGAGATTACTTCTAAGTTACTTAAATCGTTGGCAGAACATATCTTTTAATATAACTTGATTTTAAGTTATTAATTTAGACTCATAGAAATTTAGGGTTTGGAGTAATTTAAATTACTTATAAGGTTGGTAATAGCACCATAGAATTATAGTCTTGCAATAAGTGTTTGTAGAAATTTGAAGGTGGTTATTTTGTCTTTTTACAGTACTTTCTTTTGATATTATGAAATTTCATTTTTTTAAAAAATATAAAAATACATAAATAACTTTATAAAAAAAATTAAAAAGAAAATTCCCTTTAACTTTTTTTGACATCTTTAACTTTTTTTTACATCTAAATGAATTATACAAAAAATAATAATTTTTTTTTCTTAAATTTTTTTCACTAAATTTAAGGTTTAAATTTAAGATATTTAATTAAAATTTTAAATTTTTAATTATTAAACCATCTTTTTCAGCGGTAAATTTTTCCAAATCAAATACATCCTAAAGGTTTAAAAAACAAAAAGCCGCTATTCTAATGTTTCTTCGGATCCACTGGAGATCCGAGGCTGAGCCCAACAATTAAAGCCCACCTCACATGCCATCATACCCTTTTATTTGTTTTTTTTTTTTGGGTGAATATCGTCATACCCGTATTCCGAAAGCAAAAGCCCCGTAAGGAACCCCATTCCTTCCTTCCCCTTCCAGATCGACGAAATCGTTCCCTAGAAAATTCCCTTCCCTATTTTCTAGACGACCAAACAACCTCCCGCCCCTCTCTCCGTTGCACCAGAAACCCTAGATGTCAAGCTCGAGCCAGCCCCAGTTCAGGTACACCCAGACCCCGTCCAAGGTCCTCCACCTTCGCAACCTCCCGTGGGAGTGCAGCGAAGAGGAACTCATCGACCTCTGCAAACCCTTCGGAAAGATCGTTAATACCAAGTCCAATGTCGGCGCCAATCGTAACCAAGCTTTTGTTGAATTTGTAAGTTCTAATTTTTCCCCTTTTTTTTCTCCCCTGTACTCCACCTAGTCACTTTGTTGGGTTAAGACACAATTTGGAATTTTGATATATGTCTTTGTTATATGATTTAGGCGATGGGTCTATGCTGATGAAAGTTTTGTGATTCATTTTGTAGGCGGACCTAAATCAGGCAATTCAAATGGTTTCTTATTATGCTTCGTCTTTGGAGCCTGCACAAGTTCGTGGCAAAACTGTGTACATCCAATACTCAAACAGACATGAAATTGTTAACAATAGTAGTCCCGGAGACACCCCGGGAAATGTTTTGCTAGTTACTATTGAGGGTGTAGAAGCTGGAGATGTCAGCATTGATGTTATTCACTTGGTAAGTGTCTTTGCTGCAGGTTTATATGTTCTGACCATTGTTACTTCCTGTTATTTACTCATGTATTGTATTGATGCATCTCGTAGCACATTTAAATCTAATAAAAAACAACTCATGCTCGAACTGACAAGAACATAACAAACTATAAGTAACGTATGAATGTATTTTGGGAGCGTTTGATGTTTATTTCTGGGGCTTGGAGTCTTAGACTTTGTTATGCTCCAAGATGATACTCTGAATTTTATTATGAATAAGGAGAGGTTTTACACCTTAACGTCTCTAATACCCATAGTTGTTTCTTGTAGCAAAATCTTGTAATTCTTGCTTGTAAATGGGTTTATTTGTAAGGAATCATCAAGGATTACAATATACAAGGGTGACTAACTAGTATGAATTGTCTGAAGGATGAAGGTGTTGCATGATCACCTTGCCTTTAAGCTAGACATCTAACAGATCTGGATTTTGGAATTGCATTAAGAATGACAAAATTAATGTCATCTCTCTGTGTAGCCTTTTGGGTCTTATGGTAGCGTGAGCAATTTCATTCTACTGCATTCAGAAAGATATTTGGGGATCACTTCTTTCTTTCTGAAACATTATATGCAGAAAAAAAATCTGTTCATTTACTTTAATTGCTAAAGTTACTGTTGATCATGCAATCTTCCTGAATTCTATTGAAAAAAATGTTCTTTTGATGGCTTCCAAGTGTTGTTCCTTATTATAGGTGGCATACTGTTAGCTTTCTCTTTTAGTAATACTGTTCTTGTAGCTCTAGAATAAGATTAGTTATTTTTTCTGTGCTTTACAACTATGAAATAGTAACCTGATTAAATCACTTAAATTTTTATTGAAATCAGTTGAATCACTACTGATGGTGATGCCTCTTACTTAGATTCTTTTGTTGGAGACAGTTTGGAAATAGTCATGTACCGTCATACTCCTGTCTAAGGTCTATCTTCACGCATATATGTACAGGTGTTATTCTGCACTTATTTCTGATCCCTTTGGAACTTTCTTAATTTGTCTCACGTATCAATGATTTTGAATTTGTGATGGTTCTTAGTCTTGCTCCCTGCCATTTTGTTTTGATATATATATTAATAAATATATTATTATTATCTAATTAAAATTTATTTCAGGTATTTTCTGCTTTTGGCTTTGTGCACAAAATTGCTACATTTGAAAAGGCTGCTGGTTTCCAGGTGTGCTATCAACATGGATTCTGATTTTTCTGATTTCATGTCTTTGTATATCAGTATCAACCTTTTAAGAAATTTTGGCAGGCCCTTATCCAGTTCACTGATGCTGAAACTGCATCTTCAGCAAGGAATGCATTGGATGGGAGAAGTATTCCTAGGTATGGCACTGCACTATTTTCTTTCCCTTATCCTTAGCAGCTCTGTCCCGAGCTTTATGTAGTTCTCTTCCTTAATTTCTCATCATTAGATACTTTTCTGTGTTAATCACACCTAGTAGAGTTGTATTCTCTTAACATGATATTTTAAATTTAGGTATTTGCTCCCGGAGCATGTTGGTTCTTGTCATTTGCGTATCTCATATTCTGCACATACCGATTTGAATATCAGGTTTCAGTCTCATCGTAGCAGGTAAAAGTAGTCATGTGATGTGAAGTTATTTTATGTTTCTAAGTTCTTTTCTGTTTCATCTTGATGGTTCTGGCTTTACCCTTTTATTTTTTGCATTAGATGATTTGTTTTCTGCATCAGTTTCTGATGCTCTTCCACTTGTACTTTACTGTATGATTTTCAAATTGATATTGGATTTTGTTTTCCTTTTCCTGTAGGGACTATACCAATCCATACCTTCCTGTGAATCCCACAGCAATGGAGGGACTTATGCAGGTCGCTCCTCATCTTTAGAACTACTTGTTTTTTATTTTTTATTTTTATTTTTTTTTCTGTATCTTCAAAACGTTGAGATTATTCTAATAAGCTGTAGTTTCCAGCCTGTAGTTGGTCCGGATGGGAAGAAGCAAGAACCTCAGAGCAATGTGCTGCTTGCTTCAATTGAGAATATGCAGTATGCTGTTACAGTAGATGTTCTTCACATGGTAAGAATTGTGTTGATAGTTGTTCACAAGAAATATTTATTCCTTGACATGATTTCATGATTCTGCTTTTTGCCTTACATAGGTATTCTCAGCATTTGGAACGGTCCAGAAAATTGCTATATTTGAGAAGAATGGTGGAACACAAGCACTTATTCAATACCCAGGTATGATTAGTTCTTCCTTAGTCAAATATTGCTTATGAATCTTTTAATTGTTTTATGTATGTTGCTGGTGATCTTTCACATGATCCATCGTCCTTCATTTTGTAGAAGCTGTCCTTCTTATGGTAGCTTTTCTCTTCTCTGTGTTGAAATTTTGTGCTTATCCAATTTGGGTGTCCATCTAAATTTGTTGTTACATGCTGGAACTCTTATTGGCATTGATATCATTGTTTTCTATGATGATTTTTTTATATATCCAACTTTTCCAAATGGCTGTCCTCATTGATTTTGTGTACATATGGTTATTTGCAGATATTACAACTGCAGCAGTTGCAAAAGATGCTTTAGAGGGACACAGCATATATGATGGTGGCTATTGTAAGCTTCATCTATCATACTCTCGTCATACTGATCTCAATGTGAAGGTATAAATATGTTTTAGAGTTTATGTTCATGAGGAAATGATAAAGACATTGTTATGAGATAAGGGGATATGTTACTGATCTAAAAAAAAAAAAAATAGTTTGGTCTGTATAATGTATGCTTCTCTACACTTAATTTCACCCATTTCTGTTGTCTTTAGTGATACTCATGATTCTGATGAGTTCTTAACTACCTATAACAGGCTTACAGCGATAAAAGTAGAGATTACACAATCCCAGATTCAAGTCTGCTTGCAGTGCAACAAACTCCTGGTGTTCCTGCTGCTCCAACAGTTTGGCAGAATCCTCAGGCTGCTCCACTGTTCCCCAGGACTGAGTATGCTGCTCCAGCTGCAGTGCATTCTCAAGTCTCTACTGGGCAAGTTCCAGCTTGGGATCCAAACTTACAGGCTAGATCAACCTATGCATCTGTTCCAGGAACCTTCCCTGCTCAAACTTATCCAGCATCCTCATCTTCTACATATGCTGTTGCAGCAATGGCAGCTGGTTCCTCACCCCTTTCACAACCCAGTTTAGCTTCCATGAGAATGTCTCAGATGACTGCCCAGCCTAATGGGAGATCCGGTGGCCCCCCAGTTCCAGGTCAACCTCCTTATTATAGTCAATGACTTTTGTGCAGCTTGTCCTCTTGCAACTTAGAATTAGCTACTGGCCTTTCCATAATTTATTTCTAGTAAAGATTGATGGACTGTCTTGTAAGACTAACAATGAATAAACAATATGACTTTTTTCGCGGTAAGTGTGCGTGCTCACATTTATCTCCCTTGGCCATGTAAAGTGTAGTTTAGATTCAAAATGACTTTCAAATGAATGTAGAAAGACGTACTATCATGCTCTGTTTTCTCACAGCAGTTCTATACACTTCAGAGTCTATAGTAAATTAAAATCAGTGCTTCAGTAACTTTTACATGTTTCCCTGTGGCAACACAACTGAGTACGAAGCAGAGATTGTTTGGGGGTGACCGTATTTAGATGGTCACATTGCAATACGTAAATGGAAAAAAACGATGGGTTAGATGGTGATTGGAAGACAAGAAAAATACTTAAGCTAAATTGCCATCAACTGTCACAATAAATGTCTCCTATCCACGTTTTGATGTAGGCCTAACACCAACCTCCTTGCCGTGTCTTTTTATTGCAAATGGTCGCTTGTCAATTGGTTATCAATTCTGGTGTGAAATTTCTTCCTCAGAGGTAGTAAGGATTTTTGCAGCACCGTGCAGTTTATCCGTAGCCAACGTGTTCGAGCAGCTATCACACTTTCTTTAAATCTGTAGCCACCAGTAAATCTACACCGAGATATTGCATTTTCAGAAGGTACAGTACAAGGAGTTGTGAGGGTCCCTTATGTTGCTCCATGAGCTACTCTTTTTATTATTATTATTTTTTTTTTAAAAAAAAAGGCAATAGCTACTTCTTTTATTATCATTCAGATTTTGTATAAATCTTGACTTTGTATATTTCAAATTGTTACGTCGATTAAATTTCCTGTACCATCTTTTTGGTAAAGGAATGATTCAATCTCAAGTTTTTTATACAACCATTAAAAAAAACTTAACTGAATCAAGTTTTCGAGTTTGGTAATTCATCTCACAATTTTAATATTAAAATTAGGTTGATCAAAATTTCAATTTTTGCCTCCCACTTGAAAAAAATTCCCCTTCTCTTATATTTCCTCATGTTAAAAAAAAAAAAAAAAAAATTGCCTCCCACTTGAAAAAAATTCCCCTTCTCTTATATTTCCTCATGTTAAAAAAAAAAAAAAAAAA